TAGGACAGGCCTGGCCTAAAGGATGGCTATGCAGTGGTGAACAAGGCTACCCAGCCCACCCCGAAGCAAGTGTGCAAACAGAGCACCTGGCAAGGCCTGGACTCATCAAACTGGCACACAGAGGGGCTCTTGCAGAATGTTCCAGCTGAGGTGTTTACAGGACTGCATATCGGAGATGAAATGATCGACTCACACCTTCCCACAGGAAGATCAGTAAACCGTTTAGAGTATTTTCCTTTACATTTTCACCCGGGGCAGAGGAGGGTTTCAAATGACAGACAAAATTCAAGCGAACATTTTGTGACCTGTTAGGATATCAAAGGGTGCAAGCTGTCTTTTCCTTGTGAAATGGAAAGCAATAAACTTTTGCATTCTTGTGAGTAATAAAACCCAGAGTAGGAAGCTCCCGTGGCCGTAACAGTCTAGATCATCTCTTCTATCGGAGTGCAATAGTTTATAGCTATTGTTATCAGACTCCCCCAGTGATGTACTGCATTCCTGGTTTTATGTCAACATTCTTTAGTTATTCAACATCTGTCACAGGCATTTTCACGTCCCTAACAAACACAGAAGGACTGACGCTGGGGGCCGGACGAGGGTATGCTTTATTGCTCTACAGAAAGAAGGTCCTTTTGTGCTGCTACTTAGCTCACCAAGAGCAGATGCAATCAAGATTTACAGACCTCGGGGAAATGCCATCCAGCTAAGATACCCCCATTCCTGCAAGGCCTGAGGTGCCCCTTTCCCAGGAGGGACACCTACCTCTCCGCCAGGGCTTGGCTGGGCGTGCCCCTCACCGACAGCAGCTCCTCTTCCAGCCGCTGCCTCTCGGCTTCCAGGCGTTCCAGTTCTTCTTGGGAGCGCTTCTGAGGAGTGACGAACTGAAGCTCTTTCAGAAGTTCTTCTTTCTCGTGAATCAGCATCAGCTTCTCCTTCTCAATGTCCAGGGCCCCGGGCCAGGCTTCACTGTCCAGTTTGGACAGTTCGATTTTTAAGTTGGCCATACTAAAATGAAGAGAGAAAAGAGGCATGAACATGTTTAGAATCGCTGGAAAGGTGAACGCAGACAGGCTAAGTTCAGGGTTGAAATGCTGCCCAGATTTTCCTGCTGGGCCTTATCAGAGAGGGGTGCGTTCACCTGGAGAGAGACCAGGGGGAGGACAGCTGCCCACTCTCTGGGCCTGACCCCATGCTCAGTTGTCGGGTCCCCCCTTTAAATGAGTGAGCATTTCTGCCTATCTGACAAGAGTGATGGTCAAGGGAACAGATGCTTCTGAGGCAGAGTCCTGGGGCCATGGTGGACTAGGGCCACGTGAGACTGCCTGCAGGAGGTGCCGGGAGAGATGCCTGAGGGCTCTGCTTTAAAAAAACAAAAACAAAACTGAACTAAGCGATGCCTGAAATGACACTGCTGTCAATTTTGTTCCAAAGGCAAATGTCAGTGGCTTCATAATTTTGTCCACAATCAGATGTCCCTACACCCGAGCTTCATAATAAGTGGTAAATTAATGTTATTCCCAACTCAGTCTGAGTGTCTTGACCACCTAAACCAAGTAATTCATTCTCCGGCATCGTGAAGACCATCGGGATTGCTCCTGAGCTAACACTGTCACACGCTCATTTGACTGCAAGCACGAGACCCGGGTGAGCTAGGACTCGGCTTAGCTGGCACGGGGATGCACACGCGTTCCTACAGAGCATGCGGGACGGCTACCTCAGGTATTGTAGCACACACCAAAATAGAAGAAACCGAAAAGGAGGAATTTTTTCTCCTTTACTATGGAGGGAACAGTAGGAAAGAGAAAAAAGGTGAAGCCAAGGTGGAAGTGGACCCATATCCCTGGACCCTAAGTTTCTTGTCTTGGTTCAAAATACAACTGCCCTGGGACCAGCAGTTAGCGTAATGGCTATGTCGCTGGACTCCCATGTAGTCGACCACGGTTCAAGTCTTGGACCCGGTGGCTTAAACTCACGCCAGGCACGTGTGTGTGCGTGCCCAAGATCCCGAGTGGAGAATGGAGAAGAAGGGATTGTGGCATGGCCATCCCCCCTGGGGGGTGATTTCTCATTTTCTGTCTCTCCGTCTCTCTCTGTCTGTCTGGAGAGCACATGCGCCCTACAGCAAAAACCTCTCAAAAAAAGAAAAAAAATACAACTGCCCTCAGATTGGCACTGCGTCGGTAGAGAACCCCCAGTTTTTACCCACCGTCTGCACTTAGGATAGATGTAACATCAGCTGTTCTTCAGCTTTAACCGCCAAACCATAAACAACTGTCTCAATGTACTGGAAAATTAATCATCAAAATGCTAAATAAGCATGATATTATTAGCTTCATTAAGCACAAAAACAAAGGCTGGAGGAGAAAGCAAGTTTCAGAGAAACACAACCCGCCTCTTACTTATTCAGAAGTGAGGAGGGAAAAGCATTTTCGACATATGCATAAACCCTTGAGACTTACCTTCTTGTCAGTATCACTAGCAACTTTTTTTTTTTTGAGAGGTTTTTGCTATAGGTCGCGTGCACTCAACAGACAGACAGAGACAGAGAGACAGAAAGTGAGAAATCACCCCCCAGGGGGGATGGCCACACCGCAATCCCTTCTCCTCCATTCTCTTCTCGGGATCTTGGGCACGCATGCACACGCGCCTGGCGTGAGTTTAAGCCAACAGGTCCAGGACTCGAACCACATGGGAGTTCAGTGACATAGCCATTACGCTAACTGCTGGTCCCATCACTAGTAACTTTAAAATAAAGGTCCAAATAGTATGACAATACCAAATCACAGGGGAAAGAACCAAGGTCTTACATTTTAAAAAACATATTAATTAAAATTATTACTTTTAATTTGCTATAGGGCATGTGCACTCAACAGAGAGAGACACATACACACACACAGGGAGGGAGGGAGAGAGAGAAAGAGAGGAAAAGTGAGAAAGCAAGCCAAGTTCTGGGATTCGAACTGTGTTGGGCCATGTGGGAGTCCAATGCCTTACCCACCACACCACCTGCTGGCCTCAGTCTTACATTGTGATGTGAGCGAATTAACCAAGTGAACTGGCAGTGAGGATGTGCTGTGGGAAAGAAAGGCAGAAGCTCAAGCTGATCCAAGGAAAGGAGAGTCAGTCCCCAAAGAATCCAGGGGCCTAAGACCCAGTTCTCCCAGATGGATTTTCAGTTATGGCCGCTCTTCTTCAGGAAACCAGACACAGGTCCTGGGCTTTGTTCCCAGCAGAACCCGGGAGTTCTGGCTGCCATAGGGTCGGCTTGCTCACAGCAAGGACCAGAGGCAGCATCCACCCGAAGCTCGCACATGACCAGGCCACAAGACCACAGGTCAATCCTCAAGGCTTACTGAGAGCCGGACAGAGTCTGCGCACTGAGAAGGAGGTAACAAAGTATACGAAAATGTTCCTGACCTCAAGAAATCCTAAATCTACCAGGGGAAATGGAAGCATGTTAAAATGGCCCGAGTGAATTTTAGTTCAGAATGACTAGGTTACTTGCTCAAGATCGCATGGTTAATAATTTGTGGATGGAAGCTTAGGTTTCTTTCAGCAAACTGAAGAACCAAGTAATATTAGGAACACAGGCTACATAGAGGCAAATATTGGATTTATTTTACTTTGCCAGAGCCAGATAACCTCTAAGAATCACAGGCAATTGCTTACAATTGATCATCGCCACCAATAATAATGGACGTCCTTCAATACCTGATGGTTTCCTTATAGCAAGAAACCATGACGTTCTTGTGGGGCCTCCGCTGAGCTTTCTGTGTTCATGGAGAGGGAAATGCCAAGTTCCTCTGTCACCTGCAATTTTTCCCTTTTATGTCTCCTAAGTAATAAAGCAGTCATGTTTTTAAGGTCTTAAAAGAAAAATAATGAAATCAAGTGTATCACTATGACCCTTTCCCTCAAAATAAGAAAGGTGTCCTACACTATGAGAACAATTGAAGTCTATCTACTATTGGGTTGTCAGAAAAGTCATGACATATTTCTCGTTTTTCTAATGTATCATGATTTCTCTGACAACCGAATAGATTGGGATGGTAAAGTCTATTACGCCTCACCCCAGTGGAGTCGTGAGGGACGAACAAGACTGCCCAGGCTTATTAATAAGAGTTTATACGGTTGTGGAGAGAAATGAGAATCTCTCTCTTTTCTCCCTGAGCAAGGCAACTGGAACAGACACTCTAGGACCCCCCAGGACAATAGCAGCAAGACTTCCCTTCAAAGCAAAAGAACAGGCTTAGAGACGTTTACCTTCGAACTCTCGAACTCGCGCCAGCTACCAAGTCCTGTCCCTGAGCCAGTGAGAAGCCAATCTTCTCCCTTTTCATTGGGAATAAGTATTGGACAAGAGCCAAGTTTCTTTTCTCCCCCCGGAATTAAAGAGAGCAATTTCATTTCATTCCTTTCATTCTCCCTATTCTTCAGCTTTGAGGGGACGAGGTAGAAGAGGAAGAGAACGACAGAAGGAAGAGGAAGCAATCCTTCATGGTAAAACACCAGGGGCATCCTTGGTAAGAATGTGTGGGGAGTGGCCAGCAGATGTCAGCATAGGAGTAAAGATGAATTCTGGAGAGGAAACTGTCATCTGAGCCCGCCAACCTGGAGCACGGTAGCTCTGGTCATTTACCTTCTTTTAGCTTCTTCATACTGTAGGCTGAGCCTGACCTTTTCGGCTAAGTTTGATCTACTTCTCACTCCAATCTGGTAGGGGGGGAGAAAGAGGAAAAAAAGTCAATTAACTCTGTTAATGAATGAAGCAAAAACTGCTTTTGTTTCTAGGAAGTACGAGTAATTGAAAAGCTAATGAAGATGGTTCTGAAATCAGGAAACGCTGGTTTAAAAAGGCACTTACTCTGTAGTCTCAGTAGGGGCAGGACGTTTCTGTCAATTCAAGCTTGTCTGTTTTTTAAAGACTTTCACATCACTTTCTCCACACATTAAATTCAAGACAAAAAAATATTAGGTAAATGTGTCTAGTATCTAAGGGTTTATGAAGGGTGTACAGGTCAATAAAATTTATGAACTGGAACTAATTTCTTTACCTGTATGAGTCAAAATTTCCATCATTTAGCTTTCAGTTATACAAAGTATAAACTAAGTAACTTCAAAAATTAATTTTCAAACAGATATTCCCTACTGTGGAGCTCTATCTATTTGACTTTTATCACATATACTTTGAAGACGTGTAAGAGCATGTAAGAATAGGGGCCGGAAGGTGGTGTGGTGGTTAAGGGTGCTGGACTCCCACATGGCTGACTGTGGTTTGAGTCCCAGACGAGGCAGCTTGCTTTCTTGCTTTCTCTCTTGCTCTCACTCTTGTTCTGTCCTTCTCTGATCAATTAAAATAAATAAATAAATAAATAATAAAGTTGAATAAAACAATTCTTTTTTAAAAAGAGACAATGCAAAAATAACTGGAAACTTATTAAAAAGCAAATACCTGCTAATGGCATCCCCAAATAGCTAATAACATCCAAGCCATGTTAAACATTTTGAAATGTCAGATATAAACCACAGACTACACCTTTTAATATTACAATCAACATCAGATTTACAAAAGCAGGTCTACTCATTAGTTTTAAAAGGCATGTATTTCTGTTTCTCATTAGCCTTAATGTGTATCTGAAAGGACCTAAATTTCCAAGACTTTAAACTTAATAGGAAGAAGTGAAATTCCCATGTGTCCCTAGTTTTTCAATCGTGTCTCTGAAGAAATTACAGTGTATGGAAAAGTGAACGAAACTATTCAAATGGCCAGATCCTGGTATGCTTGGCACCTCGACAGAAAAGGTACGGCTATGATTTTTAAAGGCAATCTTACAGAAAGAAACAATGCACACAGCCGGAATCCAAACCACACGCCCAGCTCCCATTCCGGTTCACAAGCCACACCGCAGTGCAGGCCCGTCAGGGACAGCAGTGGGCCTACCTTTGACCCAGGTAACTTACATCTCCAGAAATGCTTGTCTGTGACCCAGCATCCAGGGTCTGTCTGGACAGCGATAAGTGACAGTTCACAGGACTGGATCTCAAGTCTGGCTCGGATCTGCCAATGCTCTGATCCAAATGAAACCGCTCCTGCAGCTTAGCGAGACTCTGTTCAGGAAAAACAAAGTATTTCCTAACGCTTACGCTGTAAGAGGGCAATTCTGTCTCATCAGGTAAAAGTAAATAGAAAAGCACTCATTTCAATGGAAAACGCTATTGCTTTATTTCGGTAGGCACATACCATTTTAGCAGAATGTTACTCTGAACAGACATACACGTGACGCTGGGAGCATGTGAGAGTAGGTTGAACAGGTTGCCTTACCTTTTCCAAACAGCATTTATCTGTGAACTTTTTTAATCCCATTAAGAACTCTCCATTTCAATAGAAACCACTCCATGCAACAGAAATTACAGAAACATTGATTACCTTTAAGGCAATCTCTAGCTTTAGACATAGTAAGATAATTTCCCACTTAGACTTAGAAGGCACCAACAGGTGGCGTGATGATTAAGGCACTGGACTCCCACATGGCTGGACCACAGTTCGAGTCCTGAACTTGGCAGCTTGAAAATCACGCCAGGCGTGTGTGCATGCATGCCCAAGATCCCGGGAGGACAATGGAGGAAGAGGGATTGTAGTGTGGCCAACCCTCTGGGGGATGATTTCTCACTTTCCCTCTCACTGTCTCTCTCTCTCCAGCGAGCACACACCCCCTACCGCAAAAACCTTAAAAAAAAAAAAAAAAAAAGACGACGATGTCCACAATTATGTCATTTCACATCTGAGATGGGACCCAAGAGATTATTTAGCTCACATTCCCGTCAGAGATTAGAACACTGAGGTCCAGAGTAGCTACAACCTGAGCTCAGCTAAGCCTACTCACAGCACTGCCTGTGTGGTATGTTCGATTTAGCGAAATGAATACTCAACAGCAGATGTAAGAGCCCAGCAATGTGGGACGCACCGCTGAAATGCTGCTCCACAGGCTGGGACCACGCAAGAGGCCCAGCTTTGATTCTGGTCTAACCTAAAGGCTGGGCCTGGTGGCATGCACCCTGTAGTCCCAAAGACTCAGGGAGGCTGAGGCTGGAGGACCACAACATGGAAAGGCGGTCTTAAAAGGCGCACACGCATACACACATCAATGTGCCTGCTCTCAGCACCCAGGTTTAAAATATAGGGCTTACTCTAGAAGGAGGATGTGATCAAGCAAAATCAGTGAAGAGGAAAAATATTACCTAAAATGCTTAAAAAAAAAAAAGCAAATCTTATAGTCATACTGAAAAAAAGATAAAAACAAAACAAAATAAACATTATTTTCAAGTTCAATAAGAGCTAGTATTTAACCTTGATATTTAATACTTTCATGAGAAGGAATTGTAACTATTGGTGCCTGTTCTTTCTCTTTTTTCTTTTACACCAAACCTTTTTTTATCCTTTCAAAGGGATATTTATAAAAAAATATATACATAAGAGAAATAAAATGTAAATGTGAACACCAAATAATACAGAAAACAACAAAGAAAACTTTAGCGACCTTGGGCAAGTCTTTTCTATTTTTCATCTATAAATGAGAAAGTCTAGTCTTTTTTTTTTCTTTTTCTTGGAGAGATTTTTGCTATAGGGCACGTGCACTTGCCAGAAGACAGAGAGAGACAGAGAGACAGAAAGCGAGAAATTACCCCCAGGGGGATGGCCATGCCACAATCCCTTCTCCTCCATTCTCCTCTCGGGATCTTGGGCACACATGCACACACACCAGGCGTGAGTTTAAGCCACTGGGTCTGGGACTCAAACCATGGTCGACTACATGGGAGTCCAGCGATACAGCCATTACGCCAACTGCTGGTCCCAAGTTTAGTCTTTTTTAATCTTTGGTTTTTTAAAGAGAGATTTTTCCTACCGTGTGCGTGCGCTTGCCTGAAAGACAGAGACAGAGAGACAGAAAGCACCCCCTCATGGTGGGGGATGGCCATACCACAATCCCTTGTCCTCTCAGGGTTTTGAGCACACATGCACACATGCCTGGCATGTGTTTTAGCTGCCAGGTCCAGGACAAGAACCTTGGTCGACTATATGGGAGTCCAGCAACATAACCATTACATCATATGCTGTTTCCCAGTCTTTTTCAATCTTATCTGTGATAAAAATATACTCAATCAATTTAGTAGTTTTTTTTTTTTTTAAGACACCTGTCATTGGATGATTTCATCTCAAGATCCTTAACATACCTGCTTTTATTACAGAAGGTCACATGAGAAGTTTCCAGGGCTGAGATTTAATTTTCTTTCTTTTTAATTTGCTATAGGCATGTGTACTTGTCAGAAAGAGACAGACAAAGAGGGAAAGTGAGAAATCATCCTGGGGGAGGGGTGAATAACCATGCCACAATCCTTTTCCCTCCATTCTCCTCTAGGGATTTTGGGAATACACACACACAAATGTGCCTGACATGTTTTTCAAGCCTCTGGGTCCAGAACTTGAACCACATAGTTGGCCACATGGGATCCAGTGTCTTAACCTCCATATCACACGGTGGCCCTCAATTTAATAGGGTTTGACTGGCATTTCTTTTATGAAATAGAATGTCGTAGGAAATAAAATCAGAGTACATCACTAGTATTACGAGTTGACGTTTCTGTGAAATTGTTTAGTGCCTATGTGTGTCTCCATAAGTATGCACAGTTGTGTGTGTTACTGTCTTTGTTGTTGTTGTTGTTGTTGTCTTAATTGTGGTTTCTAAAGTCACCAGGGCTAAGACTTGAACCATGGTTGGCCATGTGGAATCCTACTCTCTTAACTACTATGCTAAGGGGCCAGCCCCCTTACAGGGTTTTAGTGTGAAATATATTTCCAACTGTGGTCAAAAGGTTTAAAAGTCACAGAATGTATTTAATATGCCTCTCCACTCTATTGTTGGTCTCTGCACCTGCTAATTACTTTCTATGTACTTTAATCATTGGAAATTAACCTAATCTTTTAATTTAATCTGATCTGTAAATTCAAAGTTTACAAGAAGAATCAAAGGTAACCTAAAATTGGTGAGTTATTAGGTTCCAATGTAAATTTGTTCCAGTTCTATTAACTTTTTTTTAAAGGCCTATTACGTACATTTCAGGAATACTGATTTAATCAGCAGGATAACTGTGGGACAAAATCAAAACAAATACAAATAAAGTCTTAAAAGTGTTACATCTAGGGTCAGCAGGTGGTGAGGTGGTTAAGGCGCTGGATAGTCCCACAGGGCTGACCACGGTTCGAGTCTCAGACCTGGTGGCTTACTTTCTCACTTTCTTTCTCTCTGTGTGCCTGTCTTTCTCTGGTCAAATGAAAATGACTGAATGAATAAATAAAATTAAATAAACAATTATTTTTAAAAATAAATAAGTTTTACACTTATGTTAAAAACCACATATTCTTTAGCAAGACTGCCTGGGTTTGAATCCAGTCTTCCTATTTATCAGCTCTATGACTTTAAGCATTTGTTATTAAAATGTATTTCATTTCTCTGTGCTGCAATTTCCTTGGTGCCTACCTTTGGGGCTGCTGTGAGGAAAAATGAACTATTTGTATATACACAGCAGTCAGTACCTGGCACAAGGTCAGTACTTCTAAGTATTTGCTACTATTATGGTTTTCTTCTCTGATAGATCTCTTCTTACCAGTTATCCTGGAATTGCCAAAATGCGAAATTAGATGGATCCAAGAATATTTATCTATATTTGACTAGCATTTTGAACATGAACATGAAGGTAGTAGTTCTATTAAAAATGCAAACATTACAATTGGTGCTCGCATTTCCCCAAAGATGCAGACTAAATTTTTACTCAGCTAGGTAAAGAATTCTAAGCGTCTGAAATAAAAAAGAATTCTTAGCGCTGTGATAATTATGGGATGGAGGATGAGAGAGACCCTTTAAAAAAAGGTGGGAGGCTGGCCCCACATCATAATGATTAAGTGCTGTGTGAAGGGAGACGGGATCCCACATGGCTGACCGTGGTTTGAATCCTGGCCCCAACAGCTTGAAAAACATACTGGGTGGAGAACCAGCAGTTAGCGTAATGGCTATGTCGCTGGACTCCCACGTAGTCGACCGCGGTTCGCGTCTCGGACCCGGTGGCTTAAATCTCACGCCAGGCGTGTGTGCGTGCGTGCCCAAGATCCCGAGAGGAGAATGGAGGAGAAGGGATTGCGGCGTGACCATCCCCCCTGGGGGGTGATTTCTCGCTTTCTGTCTCTATGTCTCTGTCTGTCTGGCGAGCGCACGCGCCCTATAGCAAAAACCTCTCCAAAAAAAAACATACTGGGTGCATGTGCGCACATGCCGCAAACCCTGACACAGCGAAGAAGTGGAGGAAAAGGGGCCGGGGTGTGACTGTGCCCGCTGGTAGTGGTGAGTACCTTCTCCCCCACCTACTCTGGTGGGCGCATATGCCGTCTAATAATAATAATTATAGTGATGATGATGATGATGACAATGATAATAACAAATCATCTTTAATGTGACGACACCTGATTAATATAGATATGCAGAATGCTGATCCCCGAATAATTGCTGTGTTTTCTGCACATGAGGCTGGGATTGTGAGCTGAGACCCATGGGCTGAGAACTGTCCAGGTAGCCCCTGGCTGGAACCAGCTTTCCTAGCATCTCAGCATCACCTGGGTCAGAGAAAAGCTTTTCTAAGCTCCTCACACAGCCCCACCCAAAAAAGGCACAGCTTCTACCGCCTGGTGGCAGTTGCTAACCACTTTCTGTACCTTGGGCTGGGACTCACCGAATTTCAGTCCTCACGTGGACTCCAGGATCCACCAGTCACTGTCTCAAAGGACCTCAGGAGGAGGGCTTCGGTCAAGCATGTCAGAAGTGGGAATAACTGTTCTCCAGGACAGCCAGGTTGCCCTAGTCCCTGGCCAGTCTCCCATGGGGTCAATTCGTAGAAAAGGGGGGTGCTGGTGACAAAGACCCCTCTGGACACTGATGGAGAACTGCTGGGAAGGAGAGTTTCTGGAGTCCCGGAAGGTTGTGGCTGGACTTAACAAAATATCCCATTACACACCTGCATTAGGTCTTGTTTCTCTTTTTCTCCTGAGCTAATCGCCTTTCTGATGGATTTCAGTTCAGTTAGAATGGCTTTGGCTTCACTAAGTTCATACCCACTCTGGCCTCCAGACATTTTCTTATCAATTCTGTTGAAAGAGAAAAAGGAAAAATAAATCAAACAAAGACAGAGTACAAGTGAATCAAAAGGGACTGTTTTTACATTAAAGTTTATTTGTGTTGAGGGAGAATCCCCACCTGGGTCCCAACGCCTCCGGACTCTGCCAGCCCCAGATCATGCTTTTGGCTGAACCCAAACCTCGCCATGAGCTGATCCTGATCTACCCAGAACAGGGTAAAGGACACCGGGAACCGCTCAGGAGAACAGAAAGGACAGCAAACTGCCGTCAAGTGTACATGCCAGAGCGCCTGCGCCAAACCTAGCACAGTGCCTGCAGCTGGGGAGGCCTTGCACAAACAGTCAACAAGTCACTTTGACTTATATGTGGGACTTGAATATCCATGCCTCAGTTTTTCCATAATATGGATTTCCTATGTACTTTTTGAAGACCCTCTCATACCAGTGTCCTACAATATTTAGATTACATGATAAGTTTGTTATTTACTCAAATACATAAAAATTACTCTATTTCTATGAAAGTTAAGAGTTGACATCGAATTGTCTTGCTGTAATGAAGCAGAAGGGCAACGTGTTCATTTGTCGACTGACTTGAATAAAGACTCTCCAACGAACTCATTTCTTATTCCTGCAGATCTGCTTACCAAATGTCCTTACAGGTCACATTGCCACCTTAGGTTCGAGGATTTCTTGTAATCTAGTTCTTTCGGTTTGAAGGGCCCAACCAAATAACCCAATTCTTTTTGTTGCTAAATGGTGCGTGTGCTTGCTGGAGAGACAGAAAGTGAGACATTCCCTCCGGGGGAATGACCACGTGGCAATCCCTTCTCCTACATTCTCCTCTTGGGATCTTAGGCATGCACACACACATGTTTGGTGTGATTTTTAAGCCGCTGGGTCCGGGACTTGAACTGCGGTCGACTACATGGGAGTCCAGTGATGTAACCATTATACCATCTGTTGGTCCCACCCAATTCATTTTTAAAGAACAGTCAGCATTGTCTTCATGATGACTCTCCTGGTTCCCCCAGCTACCCAGGCTGTCCGAGATTCCTTACAAACCCAACTGGGCTTTCCTGTGGAACGGATGGATTTGTGGCAGCCCATCAGCCAACAGCTCTGGACATGTTCTTTGACATATTCCTGGTCTTATCCAGACTCTCCAGAGAAATGGCAGCTACTAAATCGGCGATAACAGACTCTGAGCTTGCTCGGTTTAAAACACTTAATAATTAACACTTTTTTTCAATGTGAAAGGTGTAATCTGAAGAAAACAAATATTGCTACCTTAATCACTCTTCTAAACAAAATTCACTCAAACAACTGCAGTTTGTCGATAACATATTTCCCCAAGGACTATTTTAGTAAATATTTTAGGCTGCTGAACAAGCAATTAAAGCCTTAAAGAACTTAAGACAATAAAATAAACTTGATCATAAGGTCATTCGATAATAAATGGAAACCACTGAAGTTATGGAACCTAACCAGGCGAACAAGCAAACCCCCCAAATATACACACTGTTTGGGGTGGGAAGAGACCCTGGAGATACCCTGGTTACAATTCGTCTAAATGAAGAAACTGAGGCCAAGAAGTCAATGCACATTAACTGAATTTCCTAACGCTGAGCTAGCAGCACCGCTAGCCGAAAATGACACATTCAAGTTTCAGGCTCATATTACCATTAAAATTATTTGGTTGCTAGAAACATCATGGCATATTTTTCCCATGTTTTTATATGCAAAAATGCATCATGACTTTTCCGAAAACCAGTATTTGATGAGAACAGGGAGGTACACTCTGATGACTAGTTAATTCCACCTACTTAGGAAAACATTTATTATCGAAATGTTTTGCTCCCCTGAGTATTATATCCACCACTTAGCTGAGGCAAAAGGCTTATTTAAAAAAAAAAAAAAATGCTGTTTCCAAATAGAGCATTTTGGCATTTCAAATGTAGTACTTTTAGGGACCAGCAGATGGCATAGCGGTTACATTGCTGGAATCCTACATGGCTTATCACAGTTCAAGTCCTAGACCTGGTGGCTTAAAAATCACGCCAGGTGCATGTGCATGCATGCCCAAGACCCTGGGAGGAGAATGGAGGAGAAGGGATTGCATTGTGACCATCCCCTGGGGGAGGGATTTCTCACTTTCCCTCTCACTGTCTCTCTCTCTCTTTTTTTTGGGGGGTGGGAGAGGTTTTTGCTATAGGGCGTGTGCGCTTGCCAGAAAGACAGAGAGAGACTGAGAGATAGAAAGCAAGAAATCACCCCCCAGGTGAGATGGCCACGCCCAATCCCTTCTCCTCCATTCTCCTCTCAGGATCTTGGGCACGCACGCACACACACACACACACACACACACACACACACGCCCGGTGTGAGTTTAAGCCACTGGGTCCAGGACGCGAACCGTGGTCGACTATATGGGAGTCCAGTGACATAGCCAACTCTATTTGCGGGCCTCCCTCTCTCTCTCTCTCTGGCAAGTGCACACGCCCTAAGGCAAAAATCTCTTTTAAAAAAAAGTAGTACTTTTCCACTAAAACCAAAACAAAATGCTGAAATTTCATAAAACAGCTAGTAATACAGGTATCCGAAACCATGTTCAAGCGAATGTCTCAGTATTTGCATAAAATCTTCAGGATTTAATGTATTATAAAATAAATGATTAATTCAGAAATAAACTATAACATTTAAAAATAAAAGCAGGACTAGTTCCAGATTGCTAATTTAAATTTCAGAGTGCTTTAAAAATAGATGAAAATTTCTTGGCCCTCGATCACTCAGTAGAATGCTAACTATGAAGAACAAT